ACCGCATATTCTCACTCATAGGCGGGTGATGAAAAATGAGAACACATGGACACAGAAAGGGGAGTACTAAACACTGGGGTCTATTGGGGGGAAAAGGGGAGGGCCGGTGGGATGGGGAGGTGGGGAGGGATAGCCTGGGGAGAAATGCCAAATGTGGGTGAAGGGGAGAAGGAAAGAAAAGCACACTGCCATGTATGTTCCTACGCAACTGTCTTGCATGCTCTGCTCATGTACCCCAAAACCTAAAATCCAATAATAAATTAAAATAAAAAAAACAAGATAGAGTCACCAACTCTTTGCTTTCTAATTTAATCCTTGTGATAAGTCTTCAGAGCCCCACACGGAGGCAGTCAGTTCTCACTATCTGCAGTAATTATGTCCTATCAAGTCACCATGGACACTGAATAAGAGAATACTCAGCCATCGCTTCTGAGAAATGTACAGTTTGGTGCCTGCAAGGTACATTTTAATCAGCTGCTTAGTACATAACCTTGTTTTATGTGTGTTTCTGCTTAAAGACACTCTATTTAATATATACTGTTGATTCATTACCATGAATTCATGACCATTAAATGCATGGCCAACAGCACTATGACCGAATGAAGCTATTTAATGTGTGTTTTCTATTTGAGGCACTTAGCAACACTAGGTGGCACTTCAGCACTATGCTTGGGGCCATTTTAAACATTGAGGTCACCAATAAAAAGAACAGAAATGAAAAAAGAAAAAAAAAGTGGTACTATAGATCATGAAAAGGACACTTGCTTATAGGATGAAAGCTGAAGCAAGAAGGCAAAACATTGCCTTGTTTTACCTCATCTGGAAACATGTGTCTAACAACTCACATTTTTGTCACTCTTCACGTGCCTGTGAATGATGATGAGAACAACATGAGTATTGCTTTTAGAACTATAAATAAATTTTAGTGAGTAAACTCACATATGTGGAATTGACAAAGAATGAGTGACTGTATGCATGTCTGAATCCTGGCCGATCATTACTAAATGTGTAATCTTAAGAAAGAGTCATCTAAGACTCATATTTTTTCAATCCTACTAAGGGAAAACAATGCATGCCTAATAAGAATGTAGTGAGGATTATATCAGGTGAGATACACTTGGCCACAAGCACGTGTGCAATGCATAACAGAGACACAAAAATATGAAATATCTTCACCAATTCCAGACCCTGAACACTTGAACTACCTAACCAGCTTCCTTGCAAGTTCTCACACCCATGATTCTTCTTTCCAAATCCCACAAAGCCAGTTATCTGCTTACCAAGTTGTTCATTCTCATTGAGTATTAAGCAACTGCAGAGGGCAAAGCCATGCTATAGTTAAAATGTCCACTCCTCATTTGAGATATCTATAGAGTCTAGCTGGCTGAGGTGCCCTAGAATTGTAACAATAGCTTCATAAATCGTTTTCTGATTAATCTCTAACCCCGGCCGTCTTTGTGGGAGCTGAGTAATTGCAGCATTCTTACACCCAGATGTAAACATCTCCATATCAGAGGATGAGTCAATGTTTCTGGAGACATGAGATGGGACAAATGGAGAAACCAATGTTTCTGGTAAGCTGTGTTGGGGAATGTGACCAAGTGATAAACACAGAGTATATCATCCAGGGTTCAACCAGAGAAGCAGGTGATACAGATTTCATTACATCTTCCTCAAAAATATACTGGAGGCCTAACCTCCAGTACCTCAGAATGTGACCTTATTTAGAGACAAGATTGATACAGAGTTAATCAAGGTAAAATGAGGGTATTAGCCTGGGTCCTAATCCAATATGACTAGTGTCCTTATAAAAAGGAGAAAATTGGAAGCAGAGGGACATACACACAGGGAGAACATCGTGTAATGATGAAGGCAGAGGTTGGGGCGATACATTATCTACAAGACAAGGTACACCAGTGACTGCCAGTGAACCACCAGAAAGAAGCTAGAGGAGAGGCCTGGAGCAGACTCCTCATCACAGCCCTCAGACAAAGCCAACCCTGCTGACACCTCGATCTTGGACTTCTAGCCTCCAGAACTATGAGACAATAAATTTCTGTTGTTCTAATCCACCAAGTTTCTGATACTTTGTCATGGCAGCCCTAGCAAACTAATACACCAGAATTGGCTTGACAATTGTTGGGGCTGAATAAGGAGGTAAATCTACAGGACAGGCAGTCAGAAGGGGAAAATCATAGAAACACTGGAATTGCACAAAAGGGGCTGAAGTTGTTCTTCACAGGCAGAAATGTCTTATCTCTTTTGGGGAAGCCTCACCTCTGCTTTTAGGGCCTTTGAACTAATCAAGTCAGGTTCACCCAGATAATTCAAGATGATCTTCTTTACCTAGAGTCAACTGATCAGGAACTTTAATTACTTCTGCAAATTTTCTTTACAGTAATAATTAGATTAGTGTTTGATTTAATAACTGTGGATTGTCATTTAACCAAACTTAAATAAAAAAGCCATTACATGAAGCTTTATGGGATGTAGTCATTGTCCCTTTTGCTCAAAGCAACAGTGGAATATTTCCAGTCACCAGAATAAAAGTTCCCATCTCAAGTGAGTAATTAAGTGGCAATGACTACTTTCTGTGCCAAATTGTGGCCTCATTCACAAGATCCCACCTCTGAAAAATAGTAAGTTTACCACTATGTTCTAGTGCCAATGAGCATTGAGAAGTTCTGGGCTTTCCCTGTCCCTTATTTGTTCATGACATCCACTGGCATATATGAGTGACATCTTGTTCCATGTGGAAAATACATTGGTGAGGAGAGCAGGCAGATGAGGTGAGGAAACTTTTATAGTTTGCCGTTTTGATACTTTATAAGAAGAAAAGTCAAGCCTTTTATATTTTTATTTTTATAAATTTTCTGACACATAGGACACAGAAAAATAGAGAGTGTGGAGAATAAAAATTCCTTTTCATGAGAAGGGATGAAAGCAGTTGGGATCTTTTTGTTCCAGCTTCTTTGACAATGACCTCATGATGCATAGATGCCCCGGGTGGAAAAATTTTTGTAAAATGTGGCTGCAGTGATTCCTTCTCTTGGCCACCAGAGGGTACATTCAGCAAAGCCATCGTTATCTTCCTAAAGCAAGCACAAAATTTTCAAAGACCAAAAAAGAGAATATCATAGCAATAGCACATTTGAGGAGGAGAGATTGAAGATGAATTCAGTGTGTACCTGTCAATTTACCTGTGGGATATTCAACTGCAGATGTACAGGAATTAAGAATCAAGCCTGGGATGGGGTGGTCTGGGAGGGAGCAGATAAAGGTGAGTTGCAACCTGAAAAAAGGCTATTTTTAGAGGAAAAAGGAAAAAGGAAAGAGAGGAGAATCAAAGAAAGAGTCTTAAAGGAGCCAAGCATAAGGGGAGGAAGAGAACCAGGACAGAACATGGGAGCTGTGGAGAGAGAGATTAGCTTTTGCCATGAACTGAATGTTTGTGCCCCCACCAAATTCATGTGTTGAAGCTTAATCTCCAATGTGATGATATTTGGAGTGAGTCCTTGGGGAGATAATTAGGTTCTGAGGGTGTAGCCCTCATGAATGGGATTAGTACCCTTATAAGAAGAAATGCATGAGAGTTTGCTTTCTCTCTTTCTGCTCTCCCCTATGTGAGGATAAAACAAGAAGACAGACATCTGCTAACCAGGAAGAAGGCCTTCACCAGACACTGGATCTTGGCCACCAGAGGGTACAATACCTTGATCTTGGACTTGGCAGTCTCCAGAACTTTGTAAAATAAATTTGTTGTTTAAACTACCCAGTCAATGGTATATTTGTTATAGCAGCCCAAGCAAAGATAGGAGAGAGAGGTGTCAATAATGAAAAATGCTGGACAGAATCTAGTAACATAACAGTGGGAAAGAGGCCTTTGAATTTGGCCATTGGGATGTTGCAGGTAACCTCAGTGGGTCAGTATTCCACGGTCTTATTGTTAAAGATGAAGAGTGAATAGGAGGTGAGAAAGAGGCTCCCTGGAGGTAGATTTCACTTTCATAAAGAAAGGTCCTTGGGCTGGGCGCAGTGGCTCATACCTGTAATCCCAGAACTTTGGGAGGCCGAGGCAGGTGGAGAGAATGAATCCAAGTTGGAAAACACTCTTCAGGATATTATCCACGAGAACTTTCCCAACCTAGCAAGGCAGGCCAACATTCAAATCCAGGAAATACAGAGAACACCACAAAGATATTCTTCAAGAAGAGCAACCCCAAGCCACATGATTGTCAGATTCACCAGGGTTGAAATGAAGGAAAAAGTCCTAAGGGCAGCCAGAGAGAAAGGTCAAGTCACCAACAAAGGGAAGCCCATCAGACTCACAGCAGCTCTCTCAGCAGCAACCCTGCAAGCTAGAAGAGAGTGGGGGTCAATATTCAACATCCTTTTTTTTTTTATATGCAGTTTTTTATTTGTCATAACTCAATTTAAAAAAAGAAAACAACTGGAAAAAAAAGTAGGCTATTTATTTTAAGCATATAAACATACGACCCTTTCTTAAAAGGTACTACAGTAATACTAATCTGTTTTCTATGTGAAAAGTGTTTGTGAATATAGAACAAATTTATGCAAAATAAGATGCAAATTATTCTTCTAGATGTAAAGGGATGAATTTTTTTTTATTTTTTTTATTTTTTATTGGATTATAGGTTTTGGGGTACATGAGCAGAGCATGCAAGACAGTTGCGTAGGTACACACATGGCAGTGTGCTTTGCTTTTCTTCTCCCCTTCACCCACATTTGGCATTTCTCCCGAGGCTATCCCTCCCCACCTCCCCCTCCCACTGGCCCTCCCCTTTTCCCCCCAATAGACCCCAGTGTTTAGTACTCCCCTTTCTGTGGCCATGTGTTCTCATTTTTCATCACCCACCTATGAGTTTTTTTTAAAGTACACAGTTATGACATACTACCCACTCTATCAAGTAGACCTAGAGGGATTCTGGAAGGCAGAGCTTTCAGCAAACAAAAAAATTATTCAGTATAATTACACAGAATTAGAGATTGCTGTGATTTTTTATTCAATTTGACATCTTGATTAGAATGAAACTAGTAAGAATGAAGCTTTACAAACATTGCAATATTACTGTATCATTGTGATATGGCTTTACACAGATTATATATAGAGAACAAAATAACATTAGAATTAAGGCAATAACAACATGTGCAAACCAAGCACATTACCCTGATATGGTCCTTGATAGAAAGCTCTTTTGGTTAGCTGATGGTTGATATTGCTGCATGCAGGTCATTGCTCTGAAGGATAAGCTATGAATAGCTTCATTCATTTAAAAAAAAAAAAAATCCCTCCTACTGGCCCACAATAGCCAGAAGAAGTCTTTGGTAATCTCCACTCGTGTCACCTGCAATCATTGTGCCCAGGGTCTTCTGATACATCTGAGAGAACATTTGTTTTATTTGTACAAGATCAATCTCACTTCGAGTGACCACAATCCTGACCAGGGTGGAGTCATCTGTACCAGCACCTTTCATAGCATAGTAGAGCCTCTCAGCAAAGAAGGCAGGGCGGTTCAGGGCACACTGCCATATGGTCTTCAAACCACTTTCCACATATCTGGAAAACTCACGGCTCACACTGCTTAACAAATCTCGATTAGCCATCCTGGAATAAGCCTCCATGGTAGCTCTTAGCTGAGGAAAGCTTCTCGTGGCAAGGATCATGTTAAAGCAAGATTCATCAGTCCCTAGTCTCCCCTCACCAGCTTGATAGAGACGCTGAGCATCTTCCTGAGCCATTTGGTGGTTTACACTCTGGTTTTCATCACGATTTCCCTGGCACATGGACACAAGTAAGCGTTCAAAATGTCCTGATGTATCTGACCTAATGTCCTTTTCAAGGTCTCGTCCAAATTCTGACTGATAACATCTGACAATTTCTCGGATTTCCTGATTTGTTCTCGTGCACAAAATTTCAATCAATACACGTTCCTGAGTTCCTGCTCCCTGCACTGCTTTCCGTAAGCTCCAGGCATCGTAATACGTAGGAGGCATGAATAGGGCCAGGATCAGTTCTTCCATATTTCCACTTAACTCTGATTTGAGATCTTTGATTAAATCCTTGCCATTCGAGGTCTTAAATGCTGCTTTAATTTTTTGCCTCTTATCATTGGAACGGTTGGCCACCACATCCACAATCGCCTGTTCGTCTGTCCCAAAACCCTTCATTGCCTTACGGAGAATTTCTGCATCTCTCATAGCATCGAAGTCGGCAACTGGTCGGATAGTTCCTTGAGCGCCCTGAGTCACTGCGGCAGGCTGACTAGGGTAAGTAGGCTGTCCTCCAGGATACTGAGAAGGCATCTGTCCTCCAGGAAAGCCACCAGGTAGTGGGACCTGTGCCGGACCACCTCCATAAGATTGTGAGGGTGGCTGTGGATAGCCAGAAAAGCCTGCTCCACTTGGTGGGACTCCAAATCCATGGCCTGGAGGAACTCCCGGATAGGATGGAGCTCCCCCTGGCTGTGGGGCACCAGGATAGCCTCCAGGGGCTGGATAACCTCCAGGTGCAGGGTAGCCTCCAGCTCCTGGATAGCCACCACTTGGTACTTGTGGGTAGGCACCTCCCCCCATTGGAGGAAAGCCACTAGGATAAGGATACTGACCAGAAGGGGGAAAAGATGACTCCTGACCTGCAGGAGGATATCCAGGGAAAGGTGGGTAGCCTGTTGGGGGATAGCCTGGGTATGACATTCTGACCCCAGCAGCAGCGTCACAGCCCTCAACATCCTTAAAGAAAAGAACTTTAACAGAAAATGAAACACCGCATATTCTCACTCATAGGCGGGTGATGAAAAATGAGAACACATGGACACAGAAAGGGGAGTACTAAACACTGGGGTCTATTGGGGGGAAAAGGGGAGGGCCAGTGGAAGGGGGAGGTGGGGAGGGAGAGCCTGGGGAGAAATGCCAAGTGTGGGTGAAGGGGAGAAGGAAAGAAAAGCACACTGCCATGTGTGTTCCTATGCAACTGTCTTGCATGCTCTGCTCATGTACCCCAAAACCTAAAATCCAATAAAAAATTAAAAAAAAAAAAGAAAAGAACTTTCAACCCAGAATTTCATATGCAGCCAAACTAAGCTACATAAGAGAAGGAGAAATAAAATCCTCTATGAACAAGCAATTGCTCAGAGATTTAATCACCACCAGGCCTGCCTTACAAGAGTTACTGAAGGAAGTACTAAACAGGGAAAGGAACAACCAGTACCAGCCACTGCAAAAATATACCAAATGGTAAAGAATAATGACACAATGAAGGAGCCACATCAATTAACTGGCAAACCAACCAGCCAGTAACAAAATGGAAGGATCTAATTCAAACATAACAATATTAATATTGAATGTAAATGACCTAAGTGTCCCAATCAAAAGACACAGACTGGCAAACTGGATAAAAAGTCAAGACCCATTGGTGTGCTTTATTCAGGAGACCCATCTCACATGCAAAGACTCACACAGACTCAAAATAAAGGGATGGAAGAAGATTTACAAAGCAAATGGAAAGAAAAAAAAACCAGGGGTAGCAATCCTAGTCTCTGATAAAATGGACTTTAAACCAACAAAGATCAAAAGAGACAAAGAAGGGTATTATATAATGGTAAAAGGATCAATGCAACAAGAAGAGCTAACTATCCAAAATATTTATGCACCCAATTTAGGAGCACCCAGATACATAAAGCAAGTTCTTAAAGACCTACAAAGAGACTTAGACTCCTGCACAATAATAGTGGGAGACTTTAACACTCCACTGACAATATTGGACAGATCAACAAGACAGAAAGTCAACAAGGCTATCCAGGACTTGAATGCAGATTTGGACCAAGTGGACCTAATAGACATCTACAGGACACTCCACCCCAAATCCGCAGAATACACATTCTTCTCAGCACCACATCGCACTTACTCCAAAATTGACCACATAATAAGAAGTAAATCACTCCTCAGCAAATGCAAAAGAATGAAAATCATAACAAACAGTCTCTCAGACCATAGCACAATCAAATTAGAACTCAGGATTAAGAAAAGCACTCAAAACTACACAATCACATGGAAACTGAACAACTTGCTCCTAAATGATGAATGGATAAACAATGAAATGAAGGCAGAAATAAAAATGTTCTTTGAAACCAATGAGAATGAAGACACAACATAGCAGATCCTATTGGACACATTTAAAACAGTGTATAAAGGGAAATTTATAGCAATAAATGCCCACATGAGAAACAAGAAAAGATCTAAAATTGAAGCCCTATCATCAATATTGAAAGAGCTAGAGGAGCAAGATTAAGAAAACTCAAAAGCAAGCAGAAGACAATAAATAACTAAGATCAGAGCAGAAGGGACGGAGATAGAGACATAAAAAAAACCTTCAAAAATCAATAAATCCAGGAGCAGGTTTTTTGAAAAGATCAACAAAATAGACGCTAGCTAGACAAAAAAAAAAAAAAAAAAAAAAGAGAGAGAAGAATCGATGAGACACAATAAAAAACGATAAAGGGGAGATCACCACTGATTCCTCGGAAATACAAACTACCATCAGAGATTACTACAAACAACTCAATGCACATAAACCAGTAAATCTGGAAGAAATGGATAAATTCCTGGACACTTGCACACTCCCAAGACTAGTCAAGAAGAAGTTGAAACCTTGAATAGACATAACAACATCTGAAGTTGAGGCAGCAATTAATAGTCTATAGACCAAAAAACATCCAGGTCTAGATGGGTTCACAGATGAATTCTACCAGACATACAAAGAGGAGCTGGTATCATTCCTGTTGAAACTATTCCAAACAATACAAAAAGAGGGATTCCTCCCTAACTCTTTCTATGAGACCAACATCATCCTGATACCAAAATCTGGCAGAGACACAACTGAAAAAGAAAACTACAGGCCAATATCCATGATGAACATTGATGTAAAAATCTTCAATAAAATACTGGCAAACCGAATCCAACAGCACATCAAAAAGGTTATCCACCACGATCAAGTAGCGTTCATCCCAGGGATGCAAGGCTGGTTCAACATACACAAATCTATAAACGTAATTCACCACATAAACAGAACAAAAAAAAAAAACCCCACATGATTATTTCAATAGATGCAGAGAAGGCCTTCGGCAAAATTCAACAGCACTTTATGCTAAAAACTCTCAATAAACTAGGTATCGATGGAATGTATCTCAAAATAACAAAAGCTATTTACAACAAACCCGTGGCCAGTATCATACTGAATGGGCAAAAATTAGAAGGATCCCCTTTAAAAACTGGCATTAGAGAGGATACCCTGTCTCACCACTCCTATTCAATATAGTATTGGAAGTTCTAGCCAGAGCAATCAGTCAAGAAAAAGAAATAAAAGGCATTCAATTAGGAAAAGAAGAAGTCAAACTGTCTCTATTTGCAGATGACATGACTGTATATTTAGAAGCCCTATTGTCTCAGCCCAAAACCTCCTTAAGCTGATAAGCAGCTTTGGCAAAGTCTCAGGATAGAAAATCAATGTGCAGAAATCACAAGCATTCCTATACACCAATAACAGACAAACATAGAGCTAAATCATGAGCGAGTGCCCACTTACAATTGCTACAAAGAGAATAAAATACCTAGGAATACAACCAATAAAGGATGTAAAAGATGTCTTCAAGGAAAATTACAAACCACTGATCAAGGAAATAGGAGAGGAGACAAACAGATGGAAAAACATTCCATGCTCATGGTTAGTAAGCAATATTGTGAAAATAGTGATTCTGCCCAAAGTAATTTATAGGTTGAATGGTATCCCCATCAAACTACCATTGACCTTCTTCACAGAACTGGAAAAAAATACTTTAAACTTAATATAGAAAGAAAAGAGAACCCGCATAGCCAAGACAATCCCAAGCAAAAAGAACAAAGCTGGAGGCATCATGTTATCTGACTTCAAACTAAACTACAAGGCTACAGTAACCAAAACAGCAAGGTACTAGTACCAGAATAGAGATATAGACCAATGAAACAGAACAGAGGCCTCCGAAGCAATGCTACACATCTACAACTATCTGATCTTTGACTAACCAGACTAAAACAAGCAATGGGGAAAGGATGCCCTGTTTAATAAATGGTGGTGGGAAAACTGGCTAGCCATATGCAGGAAGCCGAAACTGGACCCCTTCCTTATAAGTTATACAAAAATTAACCCAGATGGATTAAAGATTTAAACATAAGAACTAACACCATAAAAATCCTAGAAGAAAACCTAGGAAACCCCATTCAGGACATAGGCACAGGCAAGGACTTAATGACTAAAACACCAAAAGCAATGGCAACAAGAGCCAAAATAGACAAATGGGACCTAATTAAACTTAAGAGCTTCTGCACAGCAAAAGAAACAATTATTAGAGTGAACAGGCAACCAACAGAAAGGAAAAAAAATTTCACAATCTACCCATCAGACAAAGGGCTAATATCCAGAATCTACAAAGAACTGAAGCAGATTTACAAGAAAAAAACAAACTCATTCAAAAGTGGGCGAAGGATATGAACAGACACTTTTCAAAAGAAGACAAATATCCAGCCAACAAACCTATGAAAAAATGCTTATCATCATTGGTCATTAGAGAAATGCAAATCAAAACCACACTGAGATACCATCTCATGACAGTTAGAATGGCGATCATTAAAAAATCTGGAGACAACAAATGCTGGAGAGGATGTGGAGAAAAAGGAACATTTTTACACTGTTGGTAGAAGTGTAAATTACTTCAACCATTGTGGAAGACAGTGTGGCAATTCCTCAAGGACCTAGAAATAGAAATTCCATTTGACCCAGCAATCCCATTACTGAGTATATACCAAAAGGATTATAAATCATTCTATCATAAAGACACATGCACATGTATGTTCATTGTGGTGCTGTTTTTGATAGCAAAGACCTGGAACCAACCCAAATGCCTATCGATGATAGACTGGACAAAGAAAATGTGGCACATATACACCATGGAATACTATGCAGCCATAAAAAAATGATGAGTTTGTGTCCTTTGTAGAGACATGGATGAACCTAGAAACCATCACTCTCAGCAAACTGACACAAGAACAGAAAACCAACATGGTATGTTTTCACTCATAGGTAAGTGATGAACAACAAGAACACTTGGGCCCAGGGAAGGGGACAACACTCACATGGCTAGTTGGGGGGGTTGGAGGGGCGCGGGAGACTGCAGGGGAGGGTGGGGAGGATGGGGAGGGATAACACCGGGAGAAATGCCTGATGTAGGCGACAGGAGTGAAGGGGGGATGGAGACAGCAAACCACCATGGCATGTATGTACCTATACAACAATCCTGCAGGATGCAGGATGTGCACATGTACCCCAGAGCCCAAATACAATTAAAAAAAAAAAGATCCTAGGGACAAGACAAAAAAGAACAAAAGAGAAATATGTTCTTATACACCTTATTGAAGCTGGATTTAAGAGCTAAATATATATATTTCAATCCAATAGCAAGACTGATCTTGTTATTTTACATATATATACACGTATATATACATATATATATATGTATATAATGTTTCAGGACATGCGGCTGGCTTCCCAGGCAGAGTGTCCAAGGTGCCCTTCAGGGTCCAGGTCCTCAGCTCTGTTGGCCCAGAAACTCAACTGTGTCAAGATGCTCACAGGGATAAGGCTCACAAGAAATGAGTTCCTGACTCAACAAGAAGCTATACAAACACAAAGTCTATTGTGTGAATGTGTGAGAA